TCGTCACTTGTTTCAAAAGTGTTTCTTTCTCACCGTGGTCGGACTATAAACGGACTATAGATAGAGAACACCTACAAACACAATAAGAGGCGGGTGGAAAGGTCTAAGTTAGTGCAGGCAGTTATGGTAATTTCTGAGCTCTTGCCAAAAATCGAAGACCCAATTTCATCAAGTTCGCTTAATCAGTTGACTTTAAGATCAGGAATGACTAGGTTAAATGTTATTAAACCACCGAACACAAAGCCAACTCAAATTTATGCAACTAAAGCTAGGACTCCATAGATGCGTTCGTCTGCTGCGGCGAGGTGCGTTGACCAATGACAATCGAGAATTTTTCCGCATGCGGCAAGTTTCTGGATTGTGATTGGTCAACGCACCTTGCCGCAGCAGACGAACGCATCTATGGAGTCCTAGCTTAAAGATTCAAACTCACTGAGAACAACGGAATCAGGTTGATTTTCCACATCGGGAGTATCATTAGGCTTCGGAGCAATGGGCGTTAAACGCCGACTAGCTCTGGATGTAGGAAATACGCCTGAAAAATAAATAAAACATTATAATTCAAGTTGAGAAATTCAATTTTTTTGACTCATAGAAGGAATACACACATTGCTGAATACGAGCACTTCGCTTTTTCGAGTTGAATGCGACGGGAGCTATCGCAGTGGCGGAAGTAGCTGCACTTCCAATGAACAAAGGAACAGAACGTGCTATTTCGATACCATGCACTGGGATTAGATTTGGACAGCCAGGCTCCATACGTTGATTACAGTGCCATTAATTGTTTCGACAGTGTCGCAGCTTTCTTGATGTCGGGTGTGTTGGTGAAGTAACTACGAATATCGACGTTTGAATTTGAAATTGTATTTTCTGATTTTCTGCATGATAATTTTGATTTGAGGGATGATTCTGATTGGTTCCTTGCATTTCTCCGACAAAAAATATTTCCGTTTGTTGCTGCTGACTGTTTATGGAAACGTAATTGTGAAGGCTTTGGTAATCTGAAGGGCAAAAACATTACTTTGACTGATTTTCATAATTTCATTCTAATGAGAGAAAAAAACGTGATAGGTTCCAACCCCGAGTTGATTAAGTCACCCCATTTTAATAATCGGGTCTTTTGACGTGAAAACCTGCTGAAAATTATCAACACCTAAATGGTCCAGGCCCAGGCTGAAAAGACGGTTACCCATTCTGTCAATTAAACAAAAAAAATCCTGAAATTCTCTCGATGAACTCGATACGTCGAGTTTAATGAGATTTAATTATGTACTAAATTTATTGATTATTATTAGCAGGTTTTCACAGATTTCTCCCGAGTGCGTTGAGGGGGCCATCAGCGGAGGAAAAACTCCCCAAAATAGTTGGTGCGGGTCCCTATTGATTTTTAAGTAAATTGTTCAAGGAGTTGAGTCACATAGTGGTAAAAACCGGGAAAAAAACATAAAAGTACCAACAGTGAAATCCTGTTCTTCTACCATTGGGACATAGATCTTCTCGATCAATTGATCTTGATACAATAGCTTCACAATTTCAAAAAAATTTTACCCTTACTTCAATTTCAACTTTTAATTCACCCTTCCCAATGGAAATAGTAGGTAACAAATAAACATACTCGAATTAGTTTCATTTGCGGGCACGCTTGTCCTAACTGGCTCATCAGATGGGAAATTTGGATTATTCAAATGTGTGTTTTTCGTAAAATTTATCCGCGAGTATTCTACAATAAACATAAAACAAAGATAAATTATGATCTTGAATATTTGAAACGATAGCAGAACGGAGACATACACATTATCCGCGTCGTCGGTTTCACTTTCCAAACCAAATTAACGTTGGTTAGACAACCTAAGTCAAAAACTGAAATTAGCACGAGGAACAGAAAGATTGGTATCTACACTAGGGGAAAAAGTACACTTACTTAACAATTCAT